AATTGCATAATTTTTGTGCAATTTTTGCATAATATTACACTATTTACATAAGTTTATGGTGGGCCCCATAATATTACATAAATTTATGTCAGAAAAAATTTCCTGATGTAAAATCTGAAGTTTTTATTGATATAAAGTTAATAGTTTATTCTCTCACCATTGTTCTCAATTATCATCTCACATCTCCTTCTCATTGAGCTGACAAGGTTGATTAGAATATTATTTGGGATTTTATCCCATTCTTCTGTCATGATTTACACACAACTTTGTCTAAGATTTGTGTATAATGTAGATTTTTCAAGGGCCTTAAGCATAGTTCTCTTTCACAATGATATCTATATTTTTTCTGTTGTTCCGGGTCAGTTATACTTAACCATTTAAAATGTTTCATTCTAGCTTCTTCAATATTTTTATCTGTTACATTCCTATTTTTAAACAAATGGCTTCTAATTCTTCTTTCATATCTTCTTGTTATTTTTCAAGCAAATTTTAACACTTCATATTCTTTATTTTTTCTTTTAATTTTTTATTTTTCTTCTTTTCAAAGATATTCTGACTTTTTCTCTTCCTTTTTCTGTATATTCTTCTAACAATCACTACAGATTTTGTGTGAGTGATGATCTTTCAAATCTTTTTCATATGATATTTCCTTACAGTTTTCTAATCTGCAATGATGTCCCACATAAGGCTCCACATGAGCCGGCTTGCAAGCCAAATAACTTAGTAGGCTCACAAGCCAGCTCACAAGCTGAATAAGTTTTTTGGCTCGCAAGCCAGCTCGTGAGGAGCTTTAGTCCCACAACATGATGATATTCTTTTAAAATTTCCTTTCTTTTACATTCATCACATTTCTTTTAGTCAGTCTGATTCTTCTTGCTGATATCTGTTATTCTCATAATTTCTTCCAAATGAGTATTCTTTTCCTAACTCATTTATTATTCCTTGGTTTTTACAATCTCTCTCCAAGTGTCCTTTTCCATTACAAATTCCACAAGTTCTTCCTGGACAGAATCTTTTAATATGTCCTTTATTTCTACAGAGTTCACATTCTATATCTGGACAATCTTGGAAGCAGTGTCCTTCCTTATTACAATTTGAACAAGTATTCCTTCTTCTTTCTATTGGATGAGTTCTATTTTCTCAAGGATTTCTTTCTTTAAAATCTCTCCATTCTTTTTCATATATTTTATTTTCTGGATATAATCTGTTCTGCTGATTAATTTCTTCTGGATAGAATTTTTCTTGTTGTGCTATGTTCTGTTGACTTGTTTCTCCTAATCTTTGTAGGACATAATTTTCTTTCTTATATTCTTTTATTGTAATCATTCCTAACTTTGTTTCTAATTTGTTTTTCCTTTCAATTTTTTCTTCAATTTCCTTTTCTAATTCATTAATTTCTTTTTGAATTTTTTCTTTTTCTTCTTTTTCTTTTGGTTTCTTAATATTCTTCAGAATCTTTTGATATTCTTCAAAATTCTCCAAAATCTTTTGTTGTTCTTCTTCAGTAGTAATAGGACTAGTGATTTGACTATTTTGTTGACTCATTTTCCATAAAATATTTTTGTCTTTTTGAATGAATTTTTTCTTTTCTCGTAATTTTTTAATTATTAATATTTTTGTTTTGTGAATTTAATACAGTCAGGATTTTTTCCAAATTTGGAAATAGATTCGAAAAATTGGAACACTTTTGTCGATCAATTCATATATGTTACAAACGAGTTAACGTGATACTTCGTTGCCTTATAAAAATAAAAACATTCTAATTATAATAATTGAAATAAATACTACCAAACTTGTTTTTTCATATTCCATTCAAAATCCACAACAATCTGTTAATTTGTAGAAAGTATGCTATTGCCTAAATTTATGTAATAAAAGTTTGTTTATTGGTTTTTTAAAATAATTTTTCCGTTTTTTCTTTTGAACTTCAGTGAATAGAACATCAAGACCATTTGCTGGCACTTTACCTTGCTTATTTTCTACACTCTGACAAATACTCTGAAAAACAGTTAAAACAATGTGATATTAAAAGTGAACAACGTTTTAGACAAGCATCAGGAGATAAAGTAAAGGGTTGTGTAAAACTATTTGCTAAGTATTTTACTGAATTATTGATTCTTTAAATGATTATTCAATCTGTGAAAGACATTACAATCAAATTGTTAATAATGACTCATTACTTGAGAAATTAAAAGCTGAAGATAACTCTAGTTTTTTTGAAGGTCAACGAAAAAAATTTATGACTAATAATAATCCAATTCAACAAGAAATCTTGGAGAAACAAGATCAGGATAACACTAATATTTTATTAGAATCAGAAAAAATAAAAAAATTAATCGACTCTGAGTTCCAACAAGTAGAATATATTAACAACATAAATGAATATAAGAAAAAAATCAATGAACTTGAATCTCAAAATAAAGAATTATTATCTGAAAATAAAGCATTATTATCCGAAAATAAAGCATTATTATCTCAAAATAAAGCATTATTATTCGAAAATAAAGAATTATTATCTGAAAATAAAGAATTATCAAAGAATTAAAAGATGGGAGATTTGATGATCAAAAAATAAGGGTTGAATATGTAATTGAAATTGCTAAAAAAGAGCGTAAAAATTTTTACAATGATATCATTGATTTAATTAATGACAAGAATAGATTTAGTTTAGATAACCTGTTAGAGTATTCTACTTCTCAATGGCTTTTTAAACGAAATCCAGTTATTGTAAAATTTTTAGAAACTCTTTCACTTAATGAGAATGAAAGTCAGCTTGGGGGTGAAAAACTATTTAAATGTGCAGTGGCTGTTGATACAATATATGGGGCAAGAATCTTTGTATGATTGAGTTCGTACAATTTTGTACACCTGTACGTACGAACATACGAATGTACGAACGATGATTTTCTGCGGTGATAAAATATTAACTTTGTAAAAATCCTATAATAATAATATTATTATTATTATAAGCCGTTAACCCTATTTACTATAATTAATGGATTACCAGATCAGAAAAAACCTCTTTTTTATTTTATATTCTGTGGTATAGTTTGATGGGTTGTTGAGTAGTAAAATAGTTTAACTGATCCGGTTAAACATAAGATTATAATATTAATATAGAGGTTTGAAAAAAACCAAATCCGCCGCCGAAATTATTTAGACCACCTCAATGATCGAATTTTATTTTATATTCCTTGGTGCAAGTGACTCGCGAACTTATAGAAAAAATGATTATTTAAATCAGTAATCTTGCAGTATTGGATTGGACTTTTCAAAGCCGCCGTCGTTTTTGATCATGTCTTGTGTTTTAAACTCAGAAAGTAAAACTACATGGCATCCATCCACAAGATTACAAATTTTTCTACAGGTTCAGAGCATGCATCGAATCGACGAAGCTTATATCGTTTACGCTTGTTAGCTTCACCATTAATTTGCTCCCTGATTTTATCATATCATTTTTTCCTCATCCTATAACCTCACCACTTGGGTCATGAAAATTCTCACTCCTGGCTGGATCAAGAAAGCACCTCTATTCTCTTCAATCACTGAAAATTTAGGAGCTGGTTTTGTGTATATTTTATATATTCATTAGCAAATAGCAAGCATGTTAATATGAAAATCAAAGCCAGAATTAAAATTAATATACATTAGAACAAGAGATAGTTCCATGCAACATTTTCTGGATCACACCTGTTACTTTTTTTGCTTCACGATAAAAAGAAAGGTCAATCTCCTGACTTGGATGCTAATAATAACAATATAATTAACCTTTCTGCATCTACAATTTCAATACATTGGATCCAATAATCCAAATAAAATTTTATTGTCCTCATTCTGATGAATCATCCATCACCATCTAGTAGAGCACAAGATCAAGATCAAACATCATCTTCAAGTGTCCCAAGTCAAATAGGGCAATTATGTCATTTGATGAATTAGCAATCAAAATAAATATTAGGTTAGAATCTATTTATTAAATAATTATTATTAATGGCATTATGATACAAGGATAAAGTTTCTAAAATTATCTTGACTAAATATAAATTTACTCAAGTCAAACCTTTAATAAATGCTAGTTTTAGAGAGAATCTTTTTTATTAATTCGTTAAATTAATCAAGTAATCTTTTTTGTGCCATATACAAATGTGCGCATATTAAATTTTTTTGTTCCACGCAACAAAATAAAAAAAAAAATTTTATATTTTCTAAATGTTTGGTCTAAATCGTATTGTGAGTGTTAAAGGTAATAAAGGCAAAAGGATAAAAAAAAGAGTTTCTTTCTAAAAAATATATTTCTATTAAAATTTTTCAAACAAAAAATAGCAATACGAAATTTACAACAAAATGTTTATAAAATTCATCCTGAATCAACAAAATCAACAACAGCAAGATCCAGTTTATTTCATTCAACTTCGATCTCTAGACAAAGTAAAATAATAAAAAAATTTTTCATTTTTTTTTTTCAAGGTGCTTATTTTTATTTCATTAAATAAAATCTCAAGATAATCAAGATTCATCGAAACCAACATCACTTTATGAATTTGGAAAACATTTAGTATCAGTACTACCAAAATATATTCAACAATATTCAGTTTACAAAGATGAATTAACAATATATTTAGCACCATCAGCGATAATTCCTGTAATGACATTTCTAAGAGATCACACAGGCACTCAATTTAAACAAGTTCAAGACATTTGTGGAGTTGATTATCCAACTAGAACAAATCGTTTTGAAGTTGTTTATAATATGTTAAGTATTCGTTATAATGCTCGTATTCGTGTCAAGACTTATGCAGATGAAATATCTCCAGTTCCATCAATAGTTGAATTATTCAATGGAGCAAATTGGTTTGAGAGAGAAGCATATGATATGTATGGCATATTTTTTGTCAATCATCCAGATCTTAGAAGAATTTTGACAGATTATGGATTTGAAGGATATCCATTAAGAAAAGATTTTCCATTAACTGGCTATGTTGAAGTGAGATATGATGAAGAAAGGAAAAGAATTGTTGCTGAGCCTTTAGAATTAACTCAAGCATTTAGAAATTTCGAGGGTGCTGCTTCACCCTGGGAACAAACTGGTATTTTAATTTGACAGCAAATATTTATTGGTTTCTTTTTATTTATTATTAATTATTAACATTATTTAATTATATAGGGTCTGGAAAAGATGATCGACCTGAATCTTTTAAAATTGAAAATGTTGTAAGGAAAGAAAAATCTGATGAAAATAAGATTTGAGTTTTATTATTTTTACATGTTTGTAGAATTTAATTGTTAGCATTTTTGGGAATGATTCATTAATATATATATATATTTATAAACACACATATATATGCGCACAATTATCAATTGATAATCACAATTGTCTTAAAATATTTAGTTTGAAAATTTACAATTATGATAAAAAATTTTATAATTACCTATCACTATATAATGTAAAAGACATCAATTTCACTACACATTTTGATCCCACTTCAAGATACTTGGGCTATTTTATAAAAAAAAAAATAAGATGTTAAAAATATCATTGGCTATTAACAATAGCATACCTTCTTCAGAGCTGCACCAAATAATACATGGTAATCGGATAATAATAACTAGTAAATACCCGATTATTAACTGAATATTCATTGGTCTATCCTCATTGATCAAATTAACTTTTGGGCTATTCTTTTCAGTTAATTGCAAAGCAATACACAATAATTCAGTGCTTGTCAGTTAATTGGTTTATGAATTACTTGGGTTCTTGCTTACTGCCTCACAGTCAACCCTCATTATCATAGACCTTGTTATAAAGATGTTTGTTACACATGAAACAAAATTTTTAAAGTAATTCATTACATTTCATTATAAAGAGATTCAACTGTACCTTGCACACCAAATAACTGAAATAAATAAATGCGGCTCTTTTACAAAGCTCAAAGGCTTTTTATAAAGTTTCTTTTTATTTATTTGTGACTGATTTATTTGTTTTTTACTCTTGTTTATATTTATTGACCGTAACCTGACTAAAGCAAATAAAATGTGGTCTTTTGCCAAAGCTCCACAATTGTCACCTTTTACTGAGGCACATGATCATTGCTTTTTACCAAAGATTTAACCCTATATTAATGGTCATGAAAAAATCACCCAAAGTTTTAAGTTTTGGCTATTGAATCAAAGAATTCGAATAATTTTGGATATAATTTTGGCCACTATTAAAATTAATTTGGCTACTATGAAAAATTATTTTGGCATTTTGAATTTGACAATGATCATTTACTAACAAAAGTAATTTTGGCTAACATGTATGTATGCACCAGATATAGGTAACCAAATATATTTTAATGCAATAACTTAGTGTTGGTAATACATTTGTTTTTTGATTCCAATAAACTGTCCAAATCATCAAAATTCTCATAGATTTCCCATTCATATATAAGATTATTTGTATAGTCATTGAATTCTTTGATGTCAAAATATGCTGAAGAAATGTGATGATTTGAATTTATTGAATATAACAATGGTCAAAACACCTGATTGCTTTAAACAAGGGAACTGCTGGATGATTCTCAACGTGCTTTTTAAATTTTTCTAATAATAATTTAAACGCTTATAAACATGGATCTTTTTTTTATGATTTATAGTATGGCTGCAAAAACAACAAAATAATTTTCTTCTGTCAACATAGTGACTTTTTTCTCAGATGTTCTGATGCAGTAAGCACCATTTTGTCATTAATTCCCACAACCAGTTCAGCAGGAGTTAGTAATTTAGCCCTACTCGGGACACTTATAGATGTCCAAGTTTTTATGTCCGAGTAAAAAAACTATAGATATATAAATTATTTTTTTTTGAGAGGAAAATTTTGCTGATCACTTACACAAGAGTAAATTATTATACTTTATGCCAAAAAATGTCTAATTATACTCAATGTGTGTTTATGCCAAAAAATTAAGAATTATGCTCCAATTATGCGAAAGCATAATTCTGGACCCTAACAATATTATTATTATATTAATTCATCAGTGTGTGGTCCTCTGAAAGTAAAAATTTTTGATATCACTAGTGAAGAAATTTGTTGCCTATTACAATGTATTAGAAATTGGCATATATGGTTTAATGGATTTTAACCTTGCTTTATTATATGGTGATGATGATGATGCATATGCCAAATGTTTACCTGAAAATCCACTAGCAACATGTTTAATGAATCAACAGCCAGGACAAAATAATTTATCACCTATTTGACACTAGTAGACAATTCCAGGAAGTTGGCCATATGATGCAAATCGGGCCGAAAAAGCAAGTGATAAAATGCAAAGTCTTACATGGAGCTGGACACATACTAAAAACACATCTCCACTCACTTGCTTCATTTGTGACATAAGTAGTATGAACTTGCAAATAATTTTGTTTTTTCCTCTGGCTCTGAGCATGAGATGTGAGATGCAAATTTTGCAAGAGTTGAAACATGTCAAGATAATACTTTAACTTGTATTTTTTTTATAACATGTTATAGCATAAAAAGCCCTTGCCATAAGAGATAGTGAAGCCATTTTGATCCAGAATGTGATCATGATTGAATTTTATACATAATGCCATGTTTAGATACAACTGGTCAGTTATAGGTCGGATCATTACATAATTTGTACATTTAGAATTTCTATCCGTAATACAAATTCTTGTTCGAATTGTTCATCTATTTGTTTTATTTGCTTTATTTGCTTTATTCAAATTATTCATTTTATTCATTTATTCAAATTATTCATTTCATTCGAATATTCATAACAAATGAAACAAATAATTCAAATAGAAATCCTAAGGATGTTCTATTTTTTTTTCAATTCATATATAAAATTCATCATCTCTGCAAAACTTTTAAATTTTTTATTGTTTCAGGTTCTAAAATACAATGCCTTTGAGTAATTAAGTCTGTGCCTCCAGAAAAAACTTGTTCACCGGTTGTTATTAGATTAGAATTAATAAATTTAATTCTAAATAAGCAGAGTGCAAAAATTAGAATACCAGGAACTGCCAAGTAATCTTTAGCCTAAAGTTCAGAGCTTTAATTTAAATCATTTTGATCCCTGAAACTCTTGTAGTACTAATGTTGACTTTGTCTGATTTTATTGCAGCATACCCCATATATTAAATAATCAACTCAATTTTCTATTCTCTACTTCATCAAGAACATCATTGGATAGCAAATCATACCATCAATCAGCTTTAAAAATGTCATTACCATATATTCTCTCATCTCAAAAAGAAACTTTCTCTCAAAATAACCAAAATGATTTAAACTCAATGGTAGATCCTGAGCTGGAATCTTTATTTGACCAAACTTTAGTTGGTCTCTCTCAATTTAATTTAATAAATCACGCAGTTATCACATGCCCAACCTGCATGACATGATGGTCAACTCTGCTAATAGTTTATGGTGATCTTACCAAATTTATTTATTATCTTTTAGATAAAAATTTTTTATAATATTGACAAAGATGATAATGAAAATGATATTAACAACAATGAACTTGATCAGGCTTCATGAACTTCCAATATCAAAGTTTATTATTAAGAGGAGCACAAAAACTTATATAACCGCAGTAAACCAAGAAACTTTAGATGAATTTGAAACTTTGATTAAAAACACTCAATCTCTTACACCTTTACACAAAATTCCAAAGCATAATTCATTAAACAATTTGATTTGCAAAATTGCTAATCGCAAAGAAGCACAGTTATTGCCAAGATTGATTTCACAATGGCGCAGATGTTTATTACCAATCACTTTCCAAACTACAAAATTATTATTTAATCGTTTATGTGATGAGAAAATTGGTGGGGAAAATGTGATGTTTAAAATGTTGGCTGATAGAAAAAAATATGGATTATTACCTGATGTGGAGGGATTCAGACTATTGATGCTAAGATATTCTAATAAGATTTTGGGAAATGACTTTTGGAAGGAAAGAAATTATTTTATTGACGAAAAAATAAAATTATTGTTTACAGATTTAAATGATAATCATATTCAAGAGATTATTGACAACAATAAAGATGATGAAATTCAAAATAAAGAAGAACCAAATAAAAAACAGAAAAAAAAAGATGCTAAAAAAAAAATAGAACAAGTAGAAGAAGCAGTTGTAGTAGAAAAAAAAGAACAACCTAAAACAGAATCAGAAATTCATCTGGATAAATTGTTTAAAACATTTGGACTAATGACATATTATGATTTGCCACAATATGATCCATATTTATTTTTGATTATATTATCAGCTTTGATGAAATTAAATACCATTGAAAGTATAAAAAGAATTGATATAACATCTAAAGAATTTCTTGAAATATTTTTGAATTCAGAGAAAAAAATTGATTATTCTACAAAAAATGATATATCAGTATATTCATTTACATTACTGCAGAATATATTGGAATTAGAAGAAATTCATAAACAAAAAAAAGTGTTGCCAACACAATTACATGACATAGGTGATGTTGAAAAGAAAGCAGAAGTTTTTCTAAAAACATTAGAAGAAAATCCAGAATCATTATCTACATCAAAAACATCAAATGAAGTTGAAGCAACAGTTGATACAACAACCTTAAAAGAACAAATTATAAAATTAAATACAAAATTACCTTCAAAATCAGAAAAACAGCATCATTATATTGAGATACTTGAAAAATTTATCAAAAGTAGGGGAAAATTTTTTGTAGCAGAAAAAGAAAATCAGCAGAATTTCAATAAGCAAAAACATATAATATGTTCAAATACACTAAATTTAATGACAAATTATTATAATAAATTATCTAAATTAGAAAAAAGGGACAATATTGAAAAGTATAAAAAAATATTACAATTAAATTATCAATATTTATATGATGGATTTAAAAATTTAAAACTTGTTTGGGAACTTGAATATAATCACAATCACATCAGTAGCAATAGTTCAGAAGTTAAAAGACATTGTTGGAAATGTGGTTCAGAAATTGATTACAAATCTTTACATTGTGAAAGAAAAGATTGTGGTGTAATACAAAAAGCATTGCCTGCCAATATTAATTATTTTGAAATGTTGAATGTTGTTGATAAATCATAAGTTTATTCTTTTGATTTTTAAAAAAAAAAAATAAACTATAATAACGATGGTAATAATGATATTGATAAAAGGGTTTTCTAAAAAAAAATATTATATAGAAAGCCAATAATATTTGATATTGATGAAAGCAAATTAAAATGTAATTTTTTATTATTGCAACAACAAGGACATCATGATAGTTATGGAAATAAAGATGAAGTGAGTTAATAATTAATAAAGAATCAGTTTATTTCTAATATTGAAGATATGGATTAATAGCAATTAAATATTATATAGCAAGAATATACAAACACATAACAACTTTCTTCTTCGATTAACAAGTATTGAAGGAACCTCTTTTAAGAGCTAAATATATAGTAAATATTCTTAATTTATATCGTTGAAATAACTATAACCTTTGAAATTAAAAAATAATAATAATTCGAAACCATCATCATCATCATTATTCTAAAAAGCTTCATTTTGAATAACATTGATATATCAGAATCAGAATCTGTACAAGATCCACAATTGTTGATGGAAACTTGGGAGTCAAGAGAAACATCGGAAGAAGCTGAAAATGAAGATGAAGTGAAATCAATCAAATTAGAATGTGATGGTAAGTATGGGTGCGTAACAAAAAAATGACACCATATTAATTAAATTATTAACACGTCTTCTTTAGGAGACTCACGTTTTGTCATTGAAAAATAGAAAAAAAATCAATTCGCGTCAACAAAAAAATAATAATAAATAATGTTGTACGGGTTTGTTGATCAAATAATAACAAGTAATCTTTTTTTCTTTTTAAAATATGACGCGAAAGAACAAAAAAAGAAAAGCAGGTAGTACTGGTACCGTTAGAGAATAAGTGTTTATCATAAGAATGGTAGTGGCTATTGCCACTTATCGTCATTCTAGTTTATCTATAAAATCTGCAAATTGATAAAAAAAAATTTCTCTTATTTTTATTATTGGATTTTGCAAAAATACTTGGTCCCAGTCATTAACATATAATGATAATGGTTGTTTTAAGGTAGGTAGCTAATCAACGAGAGGGTGTCTATACCTTCCTACCAATTTCCTGATAGCTCAGACTATCATTATCCTTTTCCACCAGGGATTTATATATTTTTATGAACTTGCTTTCATTATCCCAAAAAAGATATTTGTATATTTTGTTGAATGTAAATTTGATTTGGCGAGTTTACACATTAGCATTGATGCAAAAAGAGAGCTAATCTCGAAATAAGCATTTTAATTAATATATATGTACTTTTTTTAATAATTAAGATTTTCCTTGAAAAATAAATAGCATCCATCCATCTATATATCTATTTATTATTATTTTTAGGGTAGACAAAAATTAATGTGTATTATAAATGATTATTGATCAACTAACTCACTTTTTTGACCAAACTAACATCAAGTTCTTCATGAAATAAATAAATAAATTACAAATAAATTCTATTATAATAAAAATAATATCTGTCTGTCTGTATAAATAAATAAAAAATAATTTACATTGTTTACAAAAAGAATATAAAAATTATGAATGGTAAAATGCTATGATAAATTATATATGTATATAAAAAAATAAATATTGTTACTGCTTATGTTTTAAAAATTTAAATTTTGCAAATTTTTTCATTTTGCCACTATCACTAGAAAATTCAGTTATATCATCACCAATTGATTCTTTGTCATAATCATTTCCAATAGTAATATTACCTGTACCAAAATTATTATTGGCGGAAATACTAGTTAGACGTATTTCTTTTAATATTTTCATCATTAAAGCCATTTTTAACGCCGCATCATCTTTCATATACGTATCATTAGCTATTGGTAGAGTCTGTTGTTGAATATGACGTGATGATGATGATGACGAAGAAGAAGACGACGCGTAATTATTTCTTATTGTTGAAGTATTTGCTGAAGCATTCCCATTTCCAATATGTGTAATTGGATTATGATTAGTTGATGTGGAAACCGACGGTTGTTGACTTTGCAATACGTGTTGATTTTGATTTTGTTGTTGTGATGGAGTTGTTTGTGGTAATGGGGGTTGTAATGGTGGATGACTTTGATTTAAATCTTGTTGCGAACTTATTGGTTCGCTTGAAAAATTTTGTATATCAGTAATATGTGTTATATCATTATTATTATAATTGACGATATTGTAATTGGTGTTTCTTTCTATTTCTCTTATTCTTGTTAATATTGAATCATGAATCGCCCATAATAAGTTTCTTTCTAAATTTAAGGGAATTACTTTGTTCTGATACTGATAATTAACTATTTTATTATTATCACTGCTACCACCACTACTAGAAGTAGTACTATTATTATTAATAATGTTGTTACTATTATTGGAATTTTCATCAATTCCATCATTTTCTTCCATTTCATTTTCCATTTCACCGTTTTTCCAATTTTCATTCTCACTGGACTTTTGTTTTTCTTTTTGTATAATTATGAAATCATTTATTGGCCAATCTCCAACATAAAATATTTTTAATTTTTTCAAATTGCTGATTGTCTTGGGTAAATATTGTAATGAATTGCCTCTCAACTTCAATTCAACCAAGTTTTCGCAATCACCAATTGTCAACGGTAATTTAGTGAGCATATTCTCTGACAAATCTAAAACCTTTAATTTTTTCAATTTGCCTATTGATCTTGATAAATATTTTATTTTATTATTTATCAAATAAAATTCTTCTAATGAAATTAATTGATCAAGTTCCTCTTCTGGTAAAATATTTAATCTATTATTTGTTATATAGAATATTTTAAGCCTATACATTCCTTTTAAACTTGGCAATTTATCCAACAAATTATACGATAAATTGATGTATTCTAATTTCTGATAATGAACACCCAATTCAAACGGTATTTGTTTTAAGCTACAATGTTGTAAATAAATTTTTTTGACCATGGATAATTTTCTGAAAGTCTCGGGTATTGCCAACAAAGAAGGATTGTTGTTTAACTTTAATTCTGATAATTTACTTAATTTCCCTAGATCCTCTGGTAGCACTACCAATTCGTTAAATGATAAATCTAAATCCGTTAATGAAGTGAGTTTCGATAGGTCAGTTGGTAAATCTGACAGTTTATTTTCTTTTAAATTTAAATCTATCAATTTTGTTAATTGTCCTATCCTTACTGGTAGAGATTCTATTAAATTATTACTACAATTAAGATGTCGCAGTTTATTTAATTTGACAATATCGTTCGGCAATGATTTAATTTTATTGTTTGAAATGTCTAGTAACACTAAATTATCCAACTCTTTTATGTTCTCTGGTAATTTTCTTAGTAGATTTGATTTTAATTCCAATAGTTGCAATTGTTTTAATAAACAAATTGATTCAGGCAGAAATTCTATATTATTATTACTCAATTTTAATATACATAAAGATTTTAGTTTATTTAAGGTGTCAGGTAAATATACCAACTGATTATTTTCTAAATACAATAATCTTAATTTAATCAATTTTGTTATATCACTTGATATATCAATTAATAAATTATTGTTTAGCCTCAATTCTTTTAACGTCTTGATTTTTGTTATAGGTGAAATATCTGTTAATACATTATTGTCCAGGTTAACATATTTCAAATTTCTCAATCTTCTGAATTTTAATTTTGAATTAAACTCTGAGATACAATTACAACTCAAATCTAGTTTTTCAAGTTTAGTAAGTCTTAGTAATTCATCAGGAAAATCTCGTAAATTATTGCGATCCAATGATAATTCCTTAAGATTATATAAGCCATCAAAAAAATTATTTGGTATATAGGACAATCTTTTATTACTTAAACTTGCTGGTGGCTTGTTGATGTTATTATTATCTAGTATGGCTGGTAACTGTTGATTTTTTTGATGATTTGGCCCTTGCGGTTGATTTACTACATAATCCCAAGCTGAATCCATCACTATTTGTGCATATTGGTTATTAATATTGGATAGATCGGATTTACTATTATGATTGGGATTATTTGGGTCAGATTCACCAAGGTTGGAAAATCGAGATTCAGAAAATATACTAAAAACTGATGCTGCGGGATCTTCCGAATTAAAGGATTTTGCAAACGATGACACTCTTGATAATCGTTGTCTAACAGATGATGATGCATCATAATCTGACCCTGTGTATAAACTTGAATCCGGTGCGTGTGAATGAGTTGTAGACACGTCACCCTCTTCACCATCATCTAATGACATATCATCACCGCTATCCCTATCGTCATTATCATCGTCATTCTTTTCATGTTCTTCGACACCTTTAATCAAATTAACTTGACTGCTGCCTTTAACAAGGTAAGGATCACTGCCCTGAAATGATGACGTTAATATTGATAAAAGTTCACTATTTTTATTACTATTGATATTACTTGTTGAAAGTGTTGTGTCAGTTGTTGTTGTAGTAATGTTTGAAGTGTTGGTGGTGAGTGTTGTTGTAGTAGTGGTACTGTTGTGTTTATTCAAATTGAATGGTGGAGTTGTTGTCTCTAGTGTTTTTTGATCGATTGGTCCTGTTGAACTCATTACTTTCTGTTGTTGTAGTTTTTGTTGATAATTACGATCTCGTTGCTTAGAATGTTCTGATTTGGAGTTCATATTTATAATTTTTTTATAAAATTTCTTTTTTAATAATTTTAAAGGTGATTTGCTCGATTTTTCACTCATTTGATATTGATTCAATGATGAAGAAGAATGCAAGTTATTACTATTATTATAAAACGCAGTGCTATAATTATTATCATTGTTAATATTACTACTACTACTGCCATTAACATTATTGTCATTATTATCGTCGTCGTCGTCTAAATGAGTAAATTGAATTTTAGGAACTATTAAAACATTCACGTCCGCATTATTATCATTAATATTACTGTTATTATTATTCTTATTAGTACGTAATGAATTACTTCTATTAATATTAACAAGTGTTGCTTTTCTTTTTAATGAACCGCGCAAGTTGGAATCTTTTTTTGCGGTAAAAATATCAAATACTTTATTACGATTTCTTGATTTTTTTGTATTCATTTGTGAGCTGAGGGTTTTTCTATTGTCATCATCATCATCATCATCATCATCATCACTATCATCTACTTTTACATTTTTAAGATTACTACTAACATTTTTGCTTGATTCAGCAGCAGTTAATTGTTGAGTGGATATTGAAGGATCTTCAGGACCTTGATTATCTGGTATTTTTTGTTTTAATTTCTCTGGTATTTTTTGTTTTAATTTCTCTGGTACCTTTTGCTTTAATTTCTCTGGTACCTTTTGTTTTAATTTCTTTAAATATTTAATATTTAACTTTTTATTAAATTTATTATTATTGTCGTTGTCGTTGTCGTTATCATGGTCATGATCAAGATTATTGTTTTCTTCATTAGCTACATTATTATTATTATTATTATTATTGTCATTATTAACGTTGCTGTTATTATTAAAATGAAATAATTGGCCACTACTTAGTCTTTCAATTAAAGAAGTGAAATTAGACTTTCGATTTGATGATCTTGTAGGAGATAAAGTTGGGGTTTTTATTCTCCCATCTGTTGTCGCTGTTGATTCATCTTGTTCAATTGCTGTTTCACCGCTACTGTCTTTATGTTCCGATTTTCTTCTATAACTATTAAATTTTCTAAGTAAACCCGTTATACTGTTTGATTTATCAACATCTGAAGGCATCGAGTTTTCATTATTGTTTATTTCGTTCGAAGATATGTTCACCGTCGAGTTGATATTGTCATTATTTTCATTAATTGGTTCCGGCGAATTTGACATTGATGATGAACTTATCGCATTAACCAAAGTCGTTGAAGTTATTTCGTTTGTGGCACTTGTTGATGTTTTTGTCGTTGATGTGGTATTTGTCGAAGCTTCTGTTGTTGATCTTGATCTTGGTGATGATGATGATGATTGTGGATTGTTTGGTATTGATTTATCCCAACTTAACCACCAAGTAAATTTTTTAAGAACAGAACCGGTATAAGATGTTGTAGGCTTGTTATTACTATCCTGATGATTGTCCGTTGAATTTACTATTTCTGTTGTAGTTTCTACGGAATTATCATTATTATAGCCGAATAAACTCTTAAAAGAGTTTGAAATATAATTGCTATTTTTAGTATTATTTCCGTTGTTGTTATTGGTTTTTTTGTTATTCGAAGGTAGACTGGTCGGATTTTCCGAATGTTTTGATAATGGAAAAGTGTTTGATTTGTTTGGTTGTGGCGAAACAACTTCAGAAGAATATTTTAACTTATTATTACTATCATCATCATCATTATTATTTTCACTTATATTTCTTATGACTAAAGTATTATCATTAACATCATCACCACCATCATCATCATCACCACCATCACCATCATCATCACCATCATCATCATCATCATCGTCATTATGATTGGATATAGTATTAGTGAAATTTTTATCATCATCAAATAAAGTAGGAGTAAAATCTTTTGGTGGTTGAAAATAGTAATAATCTTTTGAAGGAATGGGCGTTTGTGAAATTTCTGTCGAATCCATTATTATTTTTGGTTGTGGTGGTGCTGTAATAATATCAGCCATTTTTTTATTTTTTAATTGTTTTAGATTAGTTTGTTTTAATAAAGAGGAGTAAAAATAGAATAAAAAAAAAATATATTTTTTAAATATTTATATATTTATTTATTTTATTTTATTGTTTTAAAAAAAACCGGATTAAAAAACCCCCATACACCAAAAAAAAACAATTAATTAATCGATAGTCCAGCTAATTAAATTGCTTTACGGGAGATATATATATATATTATATTAATTTGATCAACAAAATAATGAAGAAATTTTTAAGGAAACAAAAAGTTGCTTCCCAGCTAAAATTAAAAATTGAAAAAAAATTTTTTTTTTTCTTTGGAAAAGATGCATGGTTGGTTCTTTTATATATTTATTATTAACCTTCTTTATTGGTTGATGACAAGGCCATCGACGGTCAGTCGTAATTGTTAATTGCCTTTTATGGTATCGATTATATTTTTTTTAAAACTGAATATTTAAAACTAATATTTCCAACATTGTTAGGTTTTCAAGAAAGGTTTCAAAGCAAGCGTTGTTGCTGCTGTTGTTGTTGTTGTTATTATTATTATTATTATTATTATTATTATTATTATTATTATTATTAATATTAATATTAGTATTGATAATATTATTATTGACACTATTATTAGATTGTTAGAACATTTAGAACATTTGAAATTATTTTCTTCTGTTTTCCCTAAAAATTTAAGATTAGTGATACAGTTGAATTTGGAACTGTGTTGTTTTTTTATCCACATGCATGCATACATTATTATTATTATTTGCATGAAAAATTTCATAAATAGGCAAAAGACCCAAAAAAAAATTTTTTAAATGTTGAAATGTTGAAATCTTTAACAAGTTAAATATTGACCACAATGGCGTTCCGTAAAGAGAAAAAAGGAAATTTGCATCAACAAAACAATCAATATTTAATAAAAATTTAGATCCTAAAGAAATATATATATATGTCACACGTTCAAAAAATAAAAAACAGCTAAAAGTAAATATTAGAAAAAGTACCCAATAAATAATTTTTATCAAAAAAAATTACAAATAAATTAAAATAATACACCCGTGCAAAAAATAAAAATACATGTGGAGTAATAAAAAACAAGTAAAAACGCTTATACATTTACAATACAACGTATTTATAATGTATTTAATTAATGATAAAGACCAAAGAAATTATTAGATAAGATCATTGCCTTGTTCACTAGTGTCTTCATCTTGTTCATTCTCTTCATCTTGTTGATATGATAGATGATCGTTTGTATGATTATTTTCACTAATGGGCCTGTAATATTGTTGTTGCTGATATTGACCATTTGCAGTGGCGTTTGGATTTGTGGATGGATAAAGATGATGTGCGGGTACTGGTTGATAATGGGATGAATGATGTTGAGGTATAGGCGCCTAAAAATAAACAAACAAAACAAGCAAACATTTAATTGCTTTAATCAAACAGATATTTGATTAATTAATTATTTTCTATTATAGAAATCAAAATTTACCCAGACTACTTCCATATATTGTTGTTGTTGTTGTTGTTGTTGTTGTTGTTGTTGCTGCTGCTGCTGCTGCTGATCTAAAGGCATCATTGGTGCCATAGAAGAACCAACTGTGGTCGGCCGAGTCACATTTCCTGATGAATCTTTGGAAGAAGCATTTGCCCATACTTGTTGTGACGATACATATGCTGGTGCTGGAGGTGTTCCGTATGGTGGCAATAAAATAGTATGTTGTGGATGCCAATATCCGGGTGGTGGTGCAAAAAAGGTTGGTTGGGGTGTTTGTATATAATTATGATCCATCATTGGTGATAATTGATTCTGTAATGTTTGATTACTATTTTGAGTAGGCAATGATCTTATAATAATAATAAATTTTTAAAATAAACACAACAAAATTTTTTATGTACATAACATTATATCGTATTATTATTATTATTATAACATGTACCTATCTTGACCATTACCACCTTCAAGATTTATTGGTTGTGTTAATAGAGGCCCAGAAATATTAACGTATTGTGCAGAAATGTTTTGATGAGGTGGTTTATGAAATTCAGCTAGCAAACGTTCACCAACAACTGGCTCGACTTCAGTACCATCTCGACTTATCTTAACTTCACGATTGGCATTCCATGGATTACGTAAATGACGTGTACGTGTAAATGGAAGTTTCTGACTAAAAGATGGAATAAATTAAAATTTTATTTGCCACATAAATTTCAAATCATTTAATCATTCCTTTACACGTATATATAAATTTAAATCATATACAAACACTTTAATCCATTCTACTTTAAATGTTGTACCCCAATTTCTTGAAGGAACAGATTCCTCTTCACAATCTTCAATATCTTCTTCTTGTATTTTATATTTAATATTTTCTTCTAATAATACTGGTGAAGGACGCGATGAGGAAGCTGCTAATGCTGCTTCATCAATTGGAGTCCATTGAACAGTTTCAGTGGATTCCTTACTGATAGGACTCAACATTCTTTTATAATGTTTTATATTTTTATTTAAATAATAATAATAATAATAATAATATGAAAAGTGGTTCCAATAGAAAAAGTCCATTATTTGTTAATACAAACCTGGCATAACCGTAGAATTCTCCACTTTTATTAGCACTAAATATTAAATATACATTCTCAGCACTCTATCAATTAAATACAAAATAAAATTAAATATGCAAAACCACACAAGTAAACATATAATGTGCAGCGCAAAGAATTATTTACTTTAAATGCTTTGTTTAATGCAGCTTCATTATGTGGTTGTGTAGCCCATAAACCATTCTGTACAGAGATGTCAAGATCATCTTGAGTTAATGATTTGAGAATAAAATATCTATTCGGCGATGAAGGTTTTAATGAAGAAACTGAAGATGCAGGAGACATGGATGAAATTGAAGGTTGTTTTATTCTACGTGGTGGTAAAGATGATCGATGGGATCTGGATGATGTTGTTGACCCAGCTTCAGATGGAGTGGGTGGCGGTGTGTGTTCCGAATCTAATGCTGATAAATTTTCAGGTTTTAATTTAAAATCTGTAGGATTTTGCTTTAAATCAATCATTAGGATAAATAAAATTATTTAAATAATTTAGTTTAACCAATCAAATATTTAATTATTTATTTTTAAATATATATTTTTTTTTCTATTCACCTTTCTTGGTCTGCATACTAATTTAATTCCCTTAAATTCTAGATAAAAAAAAAATATACCGTATAAAATAAAATTTAAAATAAATAAAATGTAAAATATTAAATGAATAATTATATTATACTATAAAAAATTAATATTATTTTATTAATCCATTAATTTATTTCTTAAATCAAAAATAAATAAATAACCTTTTTCATTATATTTATTTACGGCTTCTATTACAGCCTCATGAGATTTATAATTAACAAAAGCACAATTTGATTTTTTAATAAGGAATACACTCTAAATAACAATGATAGTAATTGTTTATTGTTATTATTAAATATGATAAAAATGAGATTTGTACGATTTATGATGTATGTGTGATGAATAGATTGAATTTATTACCTCCATATTTTCATCTTCGAAGAATTCTTCCAACTCTTCATAAGTAGTAGTTTCAGGTAAATTACCAACCCATAAAGCTTTATCCAATTGTTTTGGCTTTTTTTGTTGATACATTCTAGAAATATTTTGAGGATCAAAATCAGGTGTTCTAAGTTGATCCATGGAGCTTCTTCTCGAAGAAAAACCAGAATCGACACTGGAAGCACTAGATTGATTGAGGTATCTTGGTTGAATGTGTTGAGGTGTGAATATAGGTGAATGATTATGGTATTGGGGTGGAGGCGGGTGCAATGAAGAGAAAACGGGTATTTGGTGATAAGGATAAAAATTCGATTTTATGAATGCAGGATGACTATTTGGAGTCATTTGAGGAGGCATCCTAGCAAATCTATTGTAATTATGATCATAAAAGTATTGTCCGTTATTTGGAATAAATGGTGGTGTGTAATATTGAGAAGGAATGGGTATGAATGATGATGAGTTTGGAGTATAGGTTTGTGAAGTATCTTCATAATTTGATGATCCATTCATATTATTATTATCATTAGGATAAACATTGTCTGTAGTATGGCTAGTATAAAAATAAAAATATAATATTTATGTTACATTAATAAAGAAGAAGAATAATAATAATAACCCTAATTAAAAAAATTTAAAAGAACTCGGATTAAAAACCTTGAATTTTCATTTATAGAATCAGGTGAAGATGAAGATGGTGATGGTGATGATGGTAACGATGTTTTTGTTTCCTCATTCAAAATATTTTGATCATCGCCATTTTCATTATCGTCTCTTTCTGTTTTTGTTATTGTGTCATTGTTGTTAAAATCTTGGAATGGTTTGTCATTAACATCATTTAGATTATTATTATTGTTATTATTATTATTATAGTAATGACTATTATGATCAATGTCTTTATCTGATGAGTAATTTTGATTTGCATTATCAGACTTTGAAATGTCTATTTGTTTTCTAGATTTATTGTTGTTGTTGTTGTTGTTGTGATTATTAATATTGATTTTTACTTCTTGGCTTGATTCAGGTGTTAATAAATTCTGTTCAGATTGTAACGATTGACCCTGAAGATTAGGATGAGACGCGGATCTTTTTGGAGCAGTTAAAGTACTTTCTCCTCTTGACTCTTTATAAGTATCATGCGAAATTGTTTCCAAGAATTCTTCGCTAGACATTACCACTGCTAATAATAATAATGTTATTATTCTGTTTCTGCACAACCACTTTTTACTCTTGTTGATTTGAAAATAACGATGATAATCCCCTCCTTTTTTTTTATGAGAAAATAAATATAAAGAGAAAAAAGGTTATTGTAATCTATATATATAATATAATATAATATAAATATATATATATATATATAATAACACAGGTGAGTTGGTAACAGATTATTTAAAGATTTATTTTTTTAAAAAAAAAAATAACAAAAAAAAATTACAAAATAAAAAAAAAATAATACAAATAAAAAGAAAAAAAAAATATAATTATAAATAAAATGGAATTAAAAAGTATTTACAAAGAAAAGCTTTAGAGAAGAAAGAGAAGAAGGAAGAAATTGAAGAGAAAATAAAGAAAGGATTTGGATTTTTGTTATATATAAATTTATAATAATTTATTATTATTATTATTATTGTTAGATTTTATTTTAATTCGTTGGCCGATGTTTTATTTATTCTGATTTTTGGCCAGAAAGAAAAAAATTTCATTAAAGAAAAAAATAACTTGAAATGAAAAAAGTTAGAAAATTCATTCAACCAAAATTTCCTCCAATTTTGCCTGGTAGTACAATGTCAAATGATCTGCAAAATAAAATCCCTCACTTTCTCATTTCTTTTGATACCTTTGATAATACATATATTTATATATAACATTAGTTATTCATAAATGCCATAAAGTAGTAAATAACACATTCTAATTATTATTTATTACTGCTAATTTCTAGTACTGATTACTTTAATCCGTTTCAGGTTTTTTAAATGATCCATTATAATATTATTTTAATACTGATTTTTGGAAAACGAGAAATAAAACCAAAAATTTGAAAGGGTTGTACGCGTACAAGAAAATGAAAAGATTTAAATGACAAGAGGAATTCATTACGTTAAACGGAGAAAATGGTACGATAAAATTTTTCATTTAATTCTTTTTTTGTGATAAATTTTTTTTTTACAAGTTTTAAAACTTGTTAAAAAGTAATTTTTTCTGCTGCATAACGTATTTTACATAATAATACTATTTATATTATTATTATTTAAAGAAGATTCATCAAAAATATCCGGCGCCGATATATCAAGATTATATATAAATAAATAATAATAATAAAAATAACAATAGATTTTTTCATTCTATAATAACCATAACTTTGCCTTAATTATCTTCCAAACATTAAAGGATTATTTATCCGCAAAATTGTAAAAAGACTTTTTTTTTATTCGCAACTTGGATCCTTAAAATGTTTAGTGACATCATACGCCATCAAATGGCCAATCAAATTTGATTCTTTTGGCTATCAATTAAAAATTTTTGGACAAAAAAATTAAATTCATTCATGGGCGACGATAATAATAATATTTCGTTTTCTCCACAATTGCCACTCGACATTCTCTTTGAAATTTTAAGTTATGTAAAAGATTCAAGCAAAGATCTTTTGACTTGTTCAAGAATCAATCATGCTTGGCATAGATTGGTAACGAGATTTTACATATGGAAAGAAGTAAAAGTTAATAGTTTCCACATGTATACTAGATTTTATAATACACTTCTTCGGATATCATGGACAAAAAAACAACATGCTATAGATAATTGGATTAAATTAGTAAAAAACATGATTAGAAATAAAAACATTAATATTGATGAAAATAAAAATGTCAAACTGCAGAGACCGTTATATTTTCATTCAACGAACCCTTATGGATCATATATTCAAGTTCTTGATTTATCTGGAATAGATCTGAAAGAATATATTACATCAAAATTACTTTGTTCATTGTTTCCAAATACTCCTAATCTTATTAAGATTGATTTATATAATTGTTTCAATGTCAATGATAAGGTAGTCGAAGTAATATCTGAGAGTTGTAGAGGTTTAATTGAATTAAGAATTTTTGGATGTACAAAAGTTTCTGATAAATCAATGGCTTTCTTAAAAAGGTGTAGGCAACTAAGAGAACTTGATATTGGGTATGTATGTATTTTTAGAATATATGGGCTCTCTTCAATAGAAATAAGGAATCATGTTTCGAAAAATCTACAAAAAGGAACCAAATTGTTACTATGTTTGAATAAAAGAAAAATAAAATTTATATCTCTAAAAATATTATCAAGTGAAGGATAATTGGCCTGGAGGTAACATTCCTATTTCTATTTGAAGAGATCTCATATATATTATATATATATATATGTCTATACATTTTTTTAAAAAAATTATATATTTAATATCAATTAAAATATTTATATTTATATATTATTATTTTTTCTTTTTTTTCTAAAAAAAAGATATTGTATAAAAGTTACATCAAACGGTCTTAAAATTTTAATCGATAATTGTCCCAACCTTATTTCACTTAGTTTTATAAACTCTATAAGATTTGAAGTTGATTCACTTATCCCATTAGGACCTGATTTCAAAAATTTCGAAAAACTTTTTCTAAGTTATTGTAACATTTCAGATGGATTTATTGTTTCAATAGTTCCATTTTTAACAAAACTTCGTGTGTTGGACTTAGGTCATTGTCTGTTAAAACTTACAAGTGATACGGTTGAAATGATTGTGACATCATGTCCAAATATTGAAGAGCTTCATATTTCATGTTCAGGAATCGACGAAAAAGGGATCAAATTAATAAGAAAAAATTTAGAAAATTTAAAATGTATAGATTTATCAAGATGCAGGATGATAACAGATGAATTGGTTGAAGACTTGGTAAAACATTGCAGAAGATTAAAACAAATAGATATTTCTAATAATATTGGAGTTACAGGAAAAAGTTTTTTAATTGTAGCAGAAAATGAAAATATTGAATATGCATCATTTGATGGTTGTTCAATGGTTAATGGTATATTACCTAAACATCCACCACCACCTGGTAATTCCAAAATGAAAAAATTATCATTTTCGTTCTGTGTAGATTTAAGTGAAATCACATTACAGCATATACCTAACTGGTTTAAAGGATTGGAATATTTGGCAATTAATAATGTATTAATTACATCTTGTGATTCGTTTTATAATCTATGTAATCAATTGAAACATTTAAAATACATTGATGTTCGAAATACAGTTTTCATGCATAATGACATTTGTCTAGAAGATTATCCATCAATAAAGATTGAAATATAAAAGATTAGCCAACTTTTATTATTATATATGCAGGTATCTACGATTCAAAGATTTCAGTATTAACACTGAAAATTTGCCGTGTTATACTGTCTTTCTAAATTCTTTTTTTTTGTGTTTGGTTTTGGTGCGATCAACGTTTTCGTACGGCAAATATTCTGTTTATTGCAAGTGCCTTGCCATTGCCTGTTATTTGCAATGATATTGCAATGAGCTCCCCCAATTTTTTATTTATTCTAAAAAGGTTCATTATATATAGTCGAATAAAAATTGTGTTGATTGTTGATCATCTATCGAATTGGGATGATTCGTAATAATAAATGAGATTATTTTTGTTGTAATATAAATTATTTAATTTTTTTTTTTGTTAAAGAAATCGATCAAAACTTTTTAGGAATGGCTTATGTGATTTGGGTAGAATTAATTACTTTTTTTTTGCAATTATTTATTATTTATTGTTAATTTTTGAGGAATATATACTTGGAACAAAACAGACTAGGTAAAATTAAAAAAAAAATACGGGACTGATAAACCTGATTTGCGTCGAAAAACATTTATACACAGCTGCGCAACCTTTTTATTAGGTAAAATAAAAAAAATCCGAAAAATGGAGTTTTTTAAATTGTTTACGTAGTAGTAGTGTCCAACAGCTGCGCAACTAAAGTTATTTTAATTAATACAAGTAAGAAACGAAACATTTGCCGTGTCACGACCACCTTCCAAATCAGTAAGGCGAGTTACTTCTTAATTAGTTGACAATTGAATTGATTATTGTTTATTACTAAAATGCTTTGATCACGTCTATACATTTATTTTGCAAGGCTGGATTGCAAGCTTTGTAAATCTTGACTTTAACACTTAATTTGATCAACCCACCTATATAATTATTTAATAATTGATAAAGCGTTCATTAAATATATTTTACAAACAGCTTCGTCATGGATCTTGACTAACACTTACTTTGATCAAACCCGTCTATGTGATTATTTAATAATTGATAAAGCGTTCATTAAATATATTTTACAAACAGCTTCGTAGATCTCGACTTTAACACTTATTTCGATCAAACCCGCCTATATAATTATTGAATAATAAAACGTTCATTTTGGAAAATTTGGTTTGCAAATAGATCTTGACTTTAGCACTTATTTTGATCAAACCTGCCTATATTTGAATAATTGATAAAACATTCATTAAATATATTTTTCAAACAACTTGCCTTTAACACTTATTTCAATCGCTCCTATAACAAAATATTGAATAATTGACAAAACGTTCATTTGCAAAACTTGACTTGCAAACTTCTTGAACTTGCATTTTAACACTTGCTTTGATTGCGTCTACACAAACTATTGAATAATTGACAAACGTTCCATAATTTTTATTGTGTAATCCTACGTAATCTAAAAAAAAAAAATAATTCAATAGAATAAAATTTGTCCAATGAAACTTGTATACAGTGTGTCTCAAAAAAAGAGGGCGCACAATGTAAATCCATTTTTGAAAATTTTGACGAATAAAAAATTTTTCACATGGTGAAAAATGATTGGATATCTCGCTTATATGATAAGCAACTCCTATATATATGTATTTATCACATTGTCTTTTCTTTATTTTTTGACGTGCAAACTTTGTAAAGATGGTTAATGCAAAATTAGAAGCACAACGTAAGACTATTTTACATTTTTGGATGAATGGTATCCATTCACCAAAAGAAATACATGAAAAATCAGAAATACTCCTTCGTAACATTCAGAAAAGCCTAAAGAAATCAAAGAAACAGGAACTATCGAACATAAAGGTGGCAATGGTCGTCCATACAAGGTCACACAAACATTTTCACGTTCTATTGGGCAAGTTATTCGCCACGATAATGCTGTTTCAACACGACAACTTGCAGTAAAACTTTGAGAATCACATAATGCATCAATTTCACATATTAAAAAAAATATCATAAGAGTTCTGTACCCATTGGAACACCAATGTTAACAACCCGCCATATTGAAACAAGAATGGCATGGGCACAATTTCATATGAATGATGATTGGAGTCGTACAATTTTTACCGATGAAACAGCTTTTGACTTGTTTCGTAATAAAATTCGCCAAAAGAGAGTCAAAGAGTAATGGCCTGGGGAGACATTTCGTTAAAAGGCAAAACGTCATTATTTTGCTTTACTGATATTATGGATGGACCTTATTATGTTAACATATTGGAAACCCAGCTTTTACCTGCTGCACAAAAATTACATGGTAGAAACTGGCGTTTACAACAGGATAATGATCCAAAGCACACACCACGCGTTGCAAAAACTTTTATTGATGAAAAAAGAATTCGTACAATAGACTGGCCATCCAATAGTCCTGACCTTAATCCCATTGAGAACATGTGGTATATCATGAAAAATAATGTCGAAAAAAGAATGCCAAAGAATGTTGACGAATTGAAGAGATTTATGGTTGAGGAGTGGGAGAAAATTACACAGGCAATAGTTAAAAATATTATTACGTCTATGAAACGGAGATGTGAATTGTTATTAGAAAAAACGGAGATAGAATTTCTTATTAATTTTTATTTAATAAAGTATTCGATAGGCTTTTAAATGAACCTAATTTTATTTGTTTATCTTGCACCCTTTTTTTTGAGACACACTGTATATCCCATGTACAACTTGAAATATAAGGCTCATTTTTCCATTACTAGTACTTGTCTCGGGGTAAGACATGCAATGGCGAGCCCATTTGGCTCGATTAAATGTGTTATTAAAGTCCAGCGAGCGAGAGAATGGAACTCTTGCTGGTAGCTCATGCTGGGTGCATTGACAATTCGTGACGTACCTCTCTCTTTTGTTAATTTTTATTGTTTATTTTATTTAGAAGAAACATTTAAAAAAAAAGATAAAATTCGTTAATTGATTTGATTGGTTAAATTTGTAATATATGAAATCCATCAATTATGAGAAGCATTATTATTATAGTAACAAGTAGCAAACAACAATGAATCATCATTTTTTGAGGATGACAATAAAGATTAAGATCCGATTTTTGTTCCATGAAAATACTCAAGTTTTTCAAAAAAACGGCTGTCCTATTTATATGTTTTGGATTTACAAAATAGACTACTGTGTCTTGGCCCGAGTGATGTCATTTTTTTGCTCCTTGCGATGAAGAAGATGCAATCCCAAACCCAACTTAGTAAATGAATTTTTGTTCTCGCGTAACACGGTGTGCGTGATTTGTAATACGAAAACCATAATCTCGCATTGCGTTCTCAGTTGTGAGCTTGTTGAATATTATTATATTTTATAATTATCAAACAGAAATCTATTTTTTTAAACAATAAACAATATCTTTTAAACTATGGCTAAAATTTACGATTGATAATTTTTTTTTGATATAATGAGAAGTTACTATTAAAGTGTGAGTTCGTTGGTAAGCTGTTCGAACACGGCATCTGCAATGGAACGATAGGTGTGATCACCAAAGTTATAGATGATGATAATGTAGAAATTACTTTTACAACTAATGGTAATATTATTAAAAATGAACGTCCAAAAAATTTTGAAATAAACGGCACACATGCCTCGAGGTGCCAATTCCCGTTGCAGAACGCATTTGCCTTGACAACTCACAAGACCCAAGGCGTGACATTGCCACATGTGACTCTAATGATTGATGAAAATATGTTTGCTCCAGGTCGGGTTTATGTGGCGATGAGCAGAGCTCCTTCTTGGGACAGTTGGATATCCTTTCATTTGATTTTGATTGCCTGAAGGTGGATAAAGATGCGTGACTGAATACAGAAGATTAAATCTTTTACACTAAAACGGCCTAAAAAATATTATTAATTAATATTATTAGAATTAATTTATTTAAAAAAAAATTTGATGTAACACGCGCTCACTTTGTTTATTATATTTGAAGTGTTTTGAAATACCCCCTTTTTTTTTAAATTTTTTAAAAAAAACTCTTGTTATTATAAAATAAAAATTTATCGCGTAAAAAAAAAGGATTTAACAAACTCTTAATCTTCTTTTTTACAACTCATTTTAACTCATTTACAAACAAATATCTATTATTACAAAAATGAATACTACTATTTTAACTTCGAAAGATTATGTAGCTGATAGTACTGATTTCCCGGTCTGGACTGGATTTCATCCTGGAAAAATAGCAGAAGCAGTAAATTCAGTACAAAAATTGGAAATTGATAATGTGTTTAATTCATATTCAGAACTTTGTCTCCAATATGATACGTTAAGAACTTATTATGGTGCTAATCAGAATCATTATAGCGAGTATGTTTATTTTTTAAAAAAAAGCCCTATTATTTATTTATTTATTTATTTATTTATTTATTTATTTATTTATTTATTTATTTATTCATTCATTCATTCATTCATTCATTCATTTATTACTATATTAGAAAATCACATTTTTTACCACCAAAATATAGCTTGAATTTTGACGAGTATACCAAAATTGATAAAAAATTTATAGATAAATATGGTGATGAATCTCGCAAATATCCAATCAGGAGAAAACAATCAGCACTTTTTTCAAATATTCCTCTTGAAGTATTCTTCCAAATTTGTGAAGATTTACCACCATCTGATTTGTTGGCATTGGTACAAACATGCTCGAGATTTCATTTTATCTTAATGGATAAATGTGATGGAACCCAAAAAATATGGAAAAAAGCAAGAATGGCTTATTTTAAAGGACTGCAACGACCACCACCACCAAGCTGGAATGAATTGCAATACATTAGATTCTTCCTTGCTTCACCTAGATCCTGCATGTTTTGTGGTATTATTAAATCAACTGAAATACATTGGCAGTTTCATGTAAGATGCTGCACTAGATGTTACTGTGCAAGAACCACCATAATTGAGTAAGTAATTATATAAAGTTTAATTGATTAAATAATCATATTTATTCATTTATTTATTTAACAATTTCAGAGAAAAGACTATTAGAGGTAATGATTTCTTTGCAGGATTACCTTATTCATTTCAGAAATATGGAATGAAGGTTACTGGACACAGGCCTCTCAAACAGTTCTGGGAAAAAGATATTGTTGAGAGACATTCCTATGTTGGAAAACATGGATTAAAACCTGTCAATACTTATGACGAGGAAAGTAAAAAAATGCTTGAGGTTCAAAAAAAATTCATGGAAGAATGTGATGATCGTAATAAAGAATGCAGTTTATATATGAAAAAATCAAAAAGATTTATCAAAAAAATCAACAAACTTGTTGGTAAAATTCTTGAGGAGGGGAAATTATCATTAAACTACAGATCTCGTTATATTCAAACTCATTTCACTTCGTACAAAAGAGCAATCTTTCATTTTGCAGAGGTTGATAAACAACCTTCAAAACAGTACTGGAAAAGATTAAAAAATCAAATAATTTATGAAGCAGAAAAGCCACATCGACAGGAACTTATCTTGAAATACTTGTTAAAAAAATGGCCTTGCCTTGGACCTAATAAACAAGTTGCCGAAACATTCCTTGAAGAGATAGATAACCCACTTAGATACTCTCAGGTTGATATATATACAATTCTTCAACATTGTCTTAGTTTTAAGGACCCACCAATATATCAAGGTGATGCATATACTATTTATTCAGAGAGATATCTAGAAGAGCAAGTAGTACCGGTGCTAGTAAAAGAAGCCAAAAAACTTGATTCTTATTTCCCTGAAGGAAATATTATTACAGTAAAATCTGCAATTCATATGGGTATCAAAGCACCGATTTTTAGATGTATGTTGTTAGATTGTGAAGGAGAAAAACGTATTCATCTTTATTCACCAAAAAATATGGAGCATCATCTTAATACCAAACATAACTCATTTTTTGAACAAATTGTGGCAGAACACGACAAGGTCTGGGTATATTTAAAAAAAGATATGAATTTATTTGGTGATGATGATAAATGCAAAGATCAAAAATCACAAGAAACATGTCAGAATGAACATAGATCTATTGAATGCAAAAGAAAACATGAAGGAATTAATAATGGTAATAAACATCAAGAAAAAAGACCTCGAACTAATAATAATCAACTTCAAAAATTACAAGAAACATCCCATAATGAACATAGTAGATCTATTGAACACAAAAGAAAACATGAAGGAATTAATAATGGTAATATACATAAAGGAAAAAGACCTCAAACTAATAATCAACTTCAAAAATCACACAAAAGAAAACGTGAAAGAATTAATAATGGTAATGAACATCAAGAAAAAAGACCTCGAACTAATAATCGATTTCAAAAATCACAAGAAGTCTACCAGAGTGAATGGAGATCTGTTAAATCTTATTATAAAAAAATTACTTATGTGTAAAAAAAAATTAGTATTTTTATTATTATTACTTATTATAAAAAAATTACTTGTAAAAAAAAAAATTAGTATTTTTATTATTATTACTTTTTATAAAAAAATTACTTATGTGTAAAAAAAAAACTAGTATTTTTATTATTATTAGAACAAATAATGCATATATATATATATTAATTAAAAAGATTAATTTTCCTTTTGCATCTTCATTACATGGTTTCAATTCCTTCAATTAATTGGTTTCTCTTGCTATATTTAAATTGTGTGCGAAAAAAGTAGTTTATATTTGATTGTTTGTATTACGGCCGACATATAAAACATTTTTTATAGATTATAAAATGATTGATGGACGGACAATGGTAAATTAATTGTTGATTAGTTATTTATCACTTCACATATCAAAATTTTATTAATATCACTGTTTCCGTTGAGTAATTTTGGTCATTTTTTCAATTAAACCCCCCCCCCCCCATTCAATCAGTAAAAATTTTTATGATAATAAATACAGTTCACTCTATCTATAACGAACCCTCCGTCCCTATATGTAATTTCTCTGCTTTTGGTCGTTATAGAGAGAGTTTATTAAGATGGTCGTTATAGAGAGAGAATTTAATTATAAAAAATTGAAACGGGGACAAAAGGGAAGTTCGTTATAGAGAAATTTTACTTAGTGGTCGTTATAGAGAGGGTCGTTATAGAGAGAGTAGACTGTAATACGCGTCGAATTTAGTGAAACAAGGTTTCCTTTTTTGAAGTGAAAATAGGGTTACACGGAATTGAAATTTTAGATTTCCGTCATAATTATTAATATTAGTTTCAACAATAAACTTCAAACGCGAAATAATAATAAATATAAATATTGGAAAAATATGAATTCAAAAATTACGGTTACACCCGATCATAAACATTCCATTTTAATTCCAACAAACAAAGAGTTAACTATCTAATTTTTATATGAAAAAGAGAGATGGATTTATTTACCTTATATAATATACTTTTTAAGATTAAATTATTTTTACTTTCTTCTAGTCTTTGTCAAAACAATCAAAAGCCTCAAAATGACACAGTTGAGCCAATTGTTGAAGTGGAATTATTACAAAATCCTTTCATTGTTGATAATAAGCAGGATAATGTTTAATCAAAACCACCACCACCACCAAATAGTGGAGCATTATTTGATAAGGAATATAGATTTGCACAATTTTTGTAAGTATGGAAGAAATATTTAATTGATTAATTACGTATTTTATTATAATCGCTATGATGATTTAACGTAAATCAATCAATTACATATTTATATATTTATATACATTGTTGAGGTTTTTATTTATTTGTTAATCTAAATGATTGGTTGCTCTTGTTTATTATTAATATTAATACAGGTGGGCGCCTAAATTGTTTTAGGATATGTCTTAAGTCATAAATATTTAGTATTAGACAAAATGACAAAATATCAAAAATGTCCAAATATTGAAAAAATGATCGATTGCTTCTGTGATGGATGATACACAATTTTGTTTACCCAAAATTTTGTATATATCTCAAAAATGTTGTGAAATTGATAAAGAAAATCATTGAAATATTATGTTTGCTGTCTTGCTTTACTATCTCGTAGGATCTTGGGAAATATTGATCTAGTCAAATCAAGTAGAGTCTGACCCAAATATTTAAATTAATATTTCATTTTCTACTATATAATAAACATATGAAAACATTTTGGGTGGTTCTGATCTTTAAAAGGCGACAATTATTTGGTTATTATTTGTTATGCATCGTTTAATTAAAAATACCAAGAGGACAAATCAATACAACTATAACAAAAATATTCACGTTGATTTGAATCACTTAGTGATAAAGATTCATCATTCTCCAGTTCAAACACTCTATCTAAAGAAATAGCAAAATCTGATTTTGGTAAATAAACGCCGAATATTAATTAATTTTCGTTGTGTTATTTTTATAATTTGCTCAGCAGCTTAGAATAAATTATAATAACTAAACATTTCTGTTTGGACGCAATCTCCTTTTACTGGTAATATAAAAATCTTTGTCATGCCTATTCCCATTTTTAAAGTTACTCGAGAATCAGTTTCTTTGAATAATTTCAAGAAAATCTTTTATTTGTTTCATCCATGTCTTTTTTATAAGGTTTATAATATCAACTGCTATTATTATTATATCGTGAGATGCTGGTGATTCAGTCCCACCAGTCTCCTTATCTTTAATTGTTTAAACAATGGCGTATTCAACTTCCTTAATACAGTCGGCACTCGAATAGTGAACCTAACGATTTGGTTTTTTGGACCATTTTTTCAAACCTTAAATCTTATCGTGTCTTGATGTTAAACACGAGCATTTTAATGTGTAAACTGGTCAGTAGAATGATAATTAAAAATTCTAATAAATTTTATTTGCTCCGCCAAAAAAACTATTTTATTATTCAACAGCCTGCCAAACCAATGGCCCTAACCTCAAAACTAATGGGTTTTTGCTAGTATAAAGTATTCATAATAATAACGTTATGATCGTACCGTACTGAATTTCGGGGTTCAAATAAAATCAGCGCATATGTATATATAGTGAATCGTATAATATAAGGAGGTTGAAGGTTTTCCCATTTGATTATATATAAACTCTCCTTGATATAATATTAAATAAAGAAAAAGAAGAATGCATTAGAATCAATCACTAAAATTTGATGATGACTTTTTGTTGATGTTAAAGTTGTTCTTTAAATAATGCAATTTTATTCAAGATTTATTAGTGCGAAAAGAGCGCGCATTACCATGATTATGACAGTAATAGATAATCAATGATCCTATATATGGAAAATTTTAAACCCCCCATTAATGTTTATTATCACCAAAAAAGAGTATATATATCATCAGGATCTTAAAAATTAAATTTACATCGCGTTGATTTGCATTTATCAGCTATATTCTATTGTACTATATACTTTTAAATTGAGTTGTACAACTTTAAATATCGATTAACATCACGTTGTTTAAACGAAACAAGTGAAACCAGTGAAATATATATATGAGAAAATTGTTTAATTTACTTCTAAAAAAAGAAAGCAATCTCCCGGAAAAAAAGATTGATTTGTAAAATAAAGGTATTGTTGATGATTAACCGTGTCATTGTTGCTAATTAAAGAATGATCTTCGAGGTTTCGATAATACTAAATACAATTATAAATTATTATTTTAAAAAAGCTAATTCTTTCTTACAACAAATAGATCGAAACTAATGTGAAATATATTGTTCTTAGACTTGCCAATTAAATTCATTGAAGAAATTAAAATATGGATTTTCTCTTTTGGTGCATATTTAAGGAATTACAGATTGTGTGACAAGTCATTTCAAAAAAACTATTTAAATAACAAGTCAAAGAATCAAATTTAAAACATTTGGAAAAGTCATAACCTTTCCCACGAAAAAAGGCCCCCATCCTCTATATTATTATATTACTTATCTTTTTTGTCGTTATTTAATCCTTTCCTTGAATATGAGCACCATTGTTTCCACCATTGTATCGTGTCTATTAGAATATTCACGATGATTATGCAATGCGTATTACAATAACTGCATCGCTCAAGTATAAAAGATACTAGGACCATGCAAAAATGAAAATTTTAACATTTGGGATATTTATTTTTGTTGAATTTTAATCTGATGGTTCCATTGCGTCGTCGTCTAATTGGTTCCTTCTTTTTTGTGTATGTGTGTGTGTGTGTGAATACGCGCCTCCCAATTGCAAGTCGTATATAGATCCGAAAATTTAAATGAATAATAAATCTGATTGACTATTTAGGGTGTCAGATTTAATTAAAATCTTCCTTCTACAAACATGCAACCGTATCTTCATGTCCATGGAAATTCTTCAGGTAATAATATCAATGATTATTACCCTTAATAAACTCTTCCATGGGTAAAGTAATTAGAACATGTTGGTAGGCTTTGATCGAATAAAAGGCTTTAATAGCCGTTATTCATTGAAAACAACTCGATTTCTAGGCTTTAACAGCCGTCATTGACAACAACTCAATTTCTAGGCTTTAACAGCCGTCATTGACAACAACTCAATTAATAAATTTCATTCAGGGCCATGGCATCCCCCCCTGAAAATTTTAAATCGCGTTATCGTATCTTCGGGGTCGTCAGTCAGATTAGCCTTTGTTACCCAGGAAGATAAGAACAACTGTAGTTTTTAATAATCAAGGATCGTCTTTTGGTGTTTCCAGAGCAGGTTTTCCATCTTCAATACTTAAAAAAATATATAATAGTTTATTGAAAAATAGATATTATGACAGTTGATTTAAAATGAGCAGATATAATGTTTTGAATAATAATATAGTTAGATTTAAAATAAGGTTGCTTTTTTTACCTTATAATAATTAATAAACAAATATACCATTATGATAAAGGAGCGAATATAACTGTCATCTAAAATTAAAGCCCTTACGTGGAGCAAAAACAAAAGGAAAGGGGTTACTCCTTAAACAATAATAATAATTAATATTTTTATTATCGAGTCGTGTTCGTGTTATTTTGTGCGACGGCAACATTTAACAATTTATTATAGCCTGCAGTACTGAGTTATGACAATTACCGCCTGGGTGGATATTTGTATTAGCATGACATGTTAATTATGACAAAATATAATATTTTCCAAAAAATAATTGTGTATGCTATATACCACATTAACAACAACAACAAAGGTGCACCAATTGTTGGCACGAGAGAAAGAATTTTCATTCCTCAACAAAAAAATAGATCAGATGAGTTATTTGAGTAAAATTTTTAATAAATATTTATTTTAAAATATATCATATACCATACATCATATAGCATCGAAATACACCAAATAATCCATCCATCAGTTATGTTTGATTTTACACAAGAACAACCATTAAAAGATATCTATCACAATACAGAAAAGCAGCTGTTGCACTTTTGCTAGATATTGGCCAATGTCAACTTGGCAAAATTATTGGAAATGCCTTCTATTGCGTGTAAATGAAGTTGCAATTTTTTATACATATACATTGATTGGTAAAATATATTAAAGAATATTGGAAATTTAGATATAATGGATAAATATAAATATAAATTATTAGAGAACCGGTTGGTAGATATTTTCTTCGATTATGTACAACGACACCATGCGAAAATGAAATTCACACTTGGTATATTATTTACATTAGTAGAAGTTGATGACCACTATGTATGATTTTATTTTATTTATGTGAAAAAAGAAATATTATTCAAAAAATAATTATAGAAAGATTTGACACCAGAAACAACAATCAAGATTCTTGATAAAATAAAATTACCTAAACGTGTGCCACAAATAGGTCCGACCACTTTAACGAGCGAACCTATATGGACCTGATTTTTAAAACTCTATTTATTAATGTCATGGTAATCTATAATTTTAAAACACATATATATGTTTCTTCCACTTGAACTTTAATTTATTATTATATAACCTGTAATATTTGAATACTTGGCAATAATTTGTTAGCAGAAGAGAAAGATGACAAGTTTCCTTTATGTGAAAATTAGAAGAGGAACTTGGAGAGATCCCTTCTAGATAGAGTTTTGAGTACTACGACTTGTATCAATGAGTCTTTAATTCTGAGCATTGTCAAATACTGTTCACCTTAATTTCTTTTCTAATCATGATAATGTATAGTATCTTCCTAATCCTTTTCACTGATACTGTAATGTAACTATTTTTGCATAACAAAACATATAAATAATAAAACTATCAACATAAAGAATAAATATTTCTTGAATAATTATTTTCTTGACCGTTGAATTGATTTAAAGTGATTTGACGAGGATAGCGACGAATTGCTATGTATCGATTGAACGATGAATTGATATAGAATTGGAGTGAGGTGATATTTTGAAAACAATTTGAAATTATCGAAAAGTTAAAGCCATGTATTTACACAAGATCTGATCTTCAAATTGATATAAAAAACATGATTCTTTTTTTGCAACTCGATTATTTAAATTTTGATTTTTACATGAATTTCTATCAAAAATGTAATTCTCCTGGACCAACTATAACCATCCATACACCATATCAAGCATTATGACTTATGTGGTGGTTTTTACCATCAACTCATACTTGAATCAATCGATTCAAATGATTTGCTTTTTGAGGCTTATGTATTTATTATTTCCTAATCCATAGCTGATAAATTCATTGGTCTTGGTGTATATTACTTCTTCTTCCCATTTATGGTAGCATTTGTATTAGACTTCTTTATCCCGAATATAATTATTTTGCTCTTAGCTAAGTTATCATAAATGTATTAATATATAATACTCGTATGAAATAATACAGAAATCAGTCCCATTTATAAGGCGTTTGAACTGCTCGAAAAGGCTTATGGTTTGATAGAAGCTTTAGGGCAACATAGAATTACAATTATTATATCAAGCAAATCATATAATCTAACCAATACAATTTAATCTAATAACAATCAAAAAAAATTATGTTTTATCGATCGACCATTTTGCTGTTGTTGTTTAACAGTTGAAATAGGTGACATTTCAACAATTCATATCTTTGAATTAGCGGTTCTTTTGGATACAATGTAATTTTTTTTGGATGCCCTTCATTTTCATATGGATAGTCAGAAACTTGGCGATTGACACAATAATTAGACGAAGACAATGGTTGTGATAGTTGTGGTTCACACCATGTTGTAATGTTCCTAATAATATGACCACTGCCAATAATGGTTGATGTACCATCTTTTAGCATCATCACTAGAATACTCATTTTCAAAAAAACCTATTTGTGCAAACCTAGAATCTGGAGCAAAACTTGCACGTTTTCATCTGTTTCAGTTTTTCTATTAGTTTTTATTTGAACTGCTGTGTTGGCATTTTTTTTGATCGACGACGACGAAGAAGCGGTGGAGGTGAAAGAAATATCAAACATATCTTCAAAAAACCCCTTTTACAATAGGACTAGCTAATCCTTTTTTCATTTCAGCATTTTTTTTCTGGTGGCAGGTTCGGTTATTTTTTTAACCATCTGTCCAATAAATTAGATGCGATCTCAGCAACACCAGGTACACTTGACTTTTTTATCAATTTATTATTGACAATTCTATCTAGGCAACAACTTAATCTTGATGAATGAGATTTCCAAATCAACTAATAAATGCTCTATAGCTTTCAAGGTTTAAAAAATAATTGATCATCAGGTAACGTTGCCTCTTCTTTTATCCAGTTTCTTAAAACGTAACTACACCTTTCTTTACTAGTTTTTGTAAAATGATTGGATCATGTGTCTGAATTAATATTAATATATTAATAACATGGTCACGATAAATTCTTCTTTTACTTTACAAAGAAACTCACAAACATAGCCGGCAGATTTTATATGTTGTTGTTGTTGTTGTTTAAGCCTCAACAGGTTCACCAAGTAAATAAATAAATAAATAATTAAATGATCTTGGTTTCTAAAATCATTATAAACGGTATTTTTTTCTCTTGTTCTAGTTCTCTAACAATACTTATTCGATCCTATTATAGTCGATTTTATATTTTTCCTGTATACTTTTAGTGGATTCTTTTTTTTTGTTCTCATTGTTCCATCTGTAAGAAACTGCCCACTAGCATGGATCAGGTTTGCTTCTTCTTAAAACTTTCATTATAACATATTAAATGTGATTTGCACCTCATCCCAACCAACAATAATAGTAACAGATTTCTTGTTTTTCCATTTTTTTCAACAATGACTCAGAGATCTCCAAATAACATTTGAAGCTTCTTAAGTGACAATAGATTTCCAATGTGCTTCATATTTGTCAGACTCTCTGGGACAGTGAAGGAGAAAAGTCTGAAATTTTTAGGAGGGACTAGATGTTACACGTATTTTTTTATATGTGTGCAACGTAACTTTACAATACACGGCAAACATTCTGGCAATAGAAAAGCAAGTGATAAACTAGATTTGAATTGGATCTGAACTTGATATCCAATTCAGAGAGGTAACAACTATATAATGGTGAAGTTTCAGGAGCGATGGGTTCTATATATCATTTCGCGTAACAACAAACTTCCACTATTACTATGCTGGAGGGACTTCAATTGACCCCACTGCTGCACATGATCATGATCGGAAAATCAGTCAGTAATGAGATTGTGTAAAAATAATATTATTATTGCCGTCATCATCAATGATCAATGCTGATAAGATAATCTTATTATTATTCATTAGTATTATACCATAATTTTGAATCAATCTCGTGTAATGTAAACTTGTTACACAGTCTTGAATCATTTAAATCATTTTTGGTCAATATAATAATAAATAAATATTCTCTTTTATTTTTTGATATTATCGATTATTAATTTATAAAAAAAAAGATTCAAGAATATTACAAAAATGTTTTTCTTTGACTTGGGTGATGAACTTTTGAATTTCTTCGTTTTTCTTTTGGCTCTTGCATTCGTAAGCAAAATTTAAATTGAAATTATTCATTCAAGTTAACGAAAGTAAATTGATTATAACTTATAAATGTTTATTATGAATATAGTCTGTTCTTATACTTGTTTCCGTTGTGGAAGTTTTACGAAGTGATAAACCTTTCCCAATAAAATTCTTATGGACCTTCTTCCTTTTTGCTTTTCCATTTATAACAGTGATTGTTTATTTGTAAGTATAATTAATTAATTATTATTATTATTATTATTATTATTATTATTATTATTATTATTATTATTATTATTATTATTATTATTATTA